ATGCTGGGAGTTAAATCCAGTGTCTCACATATGCCAGACAAGTGTTATACCACTGAGCTACACTCTTAGTCCAAGTACTTCCTAATTTCTTTTAAATACACAGGACTAATTGATGCATCTTTGTATTCATCATTCTTGAGTGAATTTAGAAGCTATGGAACAAAGTACAGCCTGAGAATTAGAAGACATGAATTTGATTTCTAGATTTTATATTTGTTGCCACATTCATGTCATCAGACAAAAAAAACCATAATAAAAATACAGAAGCATTCTCAGTATTTCATTCAGAAGTATTGAAATTAGAAGCATTATAATAGTACTGTTTCACATATCACAATCTGAAGTCTTTGCTTCTTCCTGGCCAGAGGTACATTTGGGTCAATTTATCATCTAAGAGATAAAAGATGAAAGCTGAGTATATTACTCATGTCCTGTACTTCCCAACTATAAAGTAATAGTAGCTTTTTATTTGAGTTTATCTTCTGGGATTCCTTTTAAGAAAAATAATTAAATCAAACTGTAATGCAGGGGATTTTGTGGTGTAGATAAAAGCCCAGAGGAAGCTTGTCATTGGCCATTCTCAATACTACTGACTTATGTCTCTAGAGATACAAAGTGAATCTGTTATCAATAGTATAATTTGTGGAAGCAAATTTCCAACAAAAATATAAGGAAAATGCAGACTTTAAAAAGTCAAACTCTTGCTGTATTACTTTTTCTGGAATAAATACAGCTTCATGTGGGAATAGTAATATATCTTATTATCCATTCAATACATTTTAATATGAAAACTCTACATTATTATTTTTATTTATTATTTATGGAGTGCAAGGGAACAATATGGCATTGTACAATGCAAACACAATGGGTACAACCTCTGCCTCTGGGAGTATATAATCAAAGACAAATGTAGACAGGATTTCTTCCTGTTCCATTCCCCAAACAGATAACATGGCCCCTCTTTGCCATACTAAAATGGGATATAAGTAGGGTAAAGGAAATTCTCTCTGCTAAGGTCATTTGACCACTGAAATGTTTGCTGTTATTATCTAAAGTCCAGGCAAAGTTAGCCTCAAAATTTAAGTAGGAGGTACCCTCAAACCCAAAGCTAAAAAAAAAAACCACAAAACCCAAAACTAATGAACAAAAGCACTGATAGGATCCAGAGTCTAATAAAAGAAAAAAAGTACTGTCCTTACAAAATAGTAAGTCCTCCTTACTAGAAGCAGGAAAGAGTAAATGAATAGTTAAAGGACAATAAAACTTCGCCATATGCAGAGATGAAAGTGAAATAAATCTCTCTAACTTAACAAGTCAACATTTTTTGGTAAAGCTTTTTAGGTGTCTAACTTCCAGCACTATGCCTAGCATATAACAGATGCTCAAGAAATATTTACTTTTATTTCCAGGAACTGTCATATGCATTTTTAAATATCTTTTTGCTTTGGCTATCTTAGAGATATAGTAACAATTCAGAGTGCTATATTACTATATTATTTCCTTAAAAGAATCAGGATGCCTCCCATTTGGAATAAGGCTTGGGAGAGGGAAGTTAGCAAACATGTCCCCTGCCTTCCACTCCAGCATTACTTAGAGCACTTAGAAAGTGCTTAATAAATACTTATGGACGAGAGCTAAATTTCCCTATGTTAGATTGTCTCGGAACGTATGTTTCCAGACAAACGGGAGTGGTTGTTTTCTTTTCATGAAGAGCTGTCATGTTTTGGCTTATTTATTTATTTAAAACTATGTAAGTGACAGATGAGGATTGTATGTATTAAAGGTATATGACATGATGAATTGATATATGTATATATTATGTAATGACCACCACAAATTAACATATCCATTACCACCCATGTTGTACATTTAGAGCTTCAGAACTTGTTCATTCCCCAAATGAAAGTTTTATACCCTTTGTTCAGCTTCTCTTCATTCTTCTACCCTCTACCACCGATGGCAGTACTTCTGCTCAATAGTCTATACATGAATCTAACAGGAGATATTTAACAGGACCCTACTGAAACAAAGTTGTAAGTTAGAGCCAAAACCCAAAAGCAAAATACTCGCCAGGTCACAAATGTGAGTGACCTCATGCCCCATACTTCCTCTTCAGCTGCTTTACTCATTTTTTAGCTGAACCCTATAACCAATCTGGTGTCTTTCATGTGGAACCTGAAAAATCACTGGCCTTGAAACATAAAACCAAATTGTTGAGCTATACTGAGGTTGAATTTATAAAATAACATTTTCCAAAATTACTTCTACGCCCTCATGTATCTAAAGTGCAAATGTGGTAGAAGTCTCTATGTTATTGCTGAATACAGAATGAAATTAACTAACAGACCAAGCTCTCTGTGAGTGAAGAGACTTAAAGTTTAAAAAGGTCAAATGGGAAAAAAGCAGATATAAGGGATAACATTGGGGGATTTAATAAATTCTCAGATCCACAGAACTGTTATTGTAGCTTGTAGCACATTTTACCAAGGAAAGGGATTGGGTAAGGGACAGCAGGAAAAAGAAAAAAAAAAAAACTTTGTTCAGTGAGAATAATTTGAAGGTTCTTATGACAGGTCTTCAGAGCCAGACTAGGTGAAGTCTGGTGAATAATGAAAATTAGACCTTTCACTGAGAAAGGAATTGTTTCAGATTACATTATCACTACACAATGGAACAGCCACCTGCGTAAACGTGTGTGCATATTTACTGTGCTCTCACCTAAGCTACCAGTTGCACATATTAATCAAATAGCACTACCCCTCCATCCACTTTTCTATTACCTGTCCTACTTTGTGCCAATTTCCTTTCTCCTCTCAAACACCCCTTGCTTTACTGTTCTTCTTTAAGACATGGGATGGGGATTTGTCAAAGTCAATGAGCACTTTATTACAGTGAGAACGTTTCGTAATGAACAATTCAGCAATTTAATGAGATTCTGTAGATCTGTCTCCAGCCTGTCCATCAAGTTTCACTTTTATAAAGCACCCTGACACTAATCCTCTGGCATACCCAATCTTCACCCTGGGCTGAATATTAGATTCTTCCATGGTATATTGCATTACTAGTATAACCTCAGCAAAAAATGATGAACTTAACTATACTTGAGGCAATATAGCTGGTCTGATTTGATTTTTCTCTATTGAGTTGAGTATGAAGGAATTACTTACTTACTAAAATAAAGGAAAAACAGTTCCTTATTGCTCGCTGAATGCCTAAATTGAAAATATGTTTGTGAGACTTTTAATTCTTTCTTGAGGACTAGGTCTAAGAAATATCATTGCCTGAGGCAGAAATAGTTTCAAATTTCTACATTAAAGTATTTGTAGCCTTTAGAGAGGTAATCATGATAACTCTTAAGTGGACAGTATAGAATTTTCTTGACTCAGATATCTGCACATTACCATGTCGATATCCAGCAGTGCCTTCAACCATACCACAGTAAGAAAGACACCCCAAGGATGGGTAGCCTCAAATCTCAATTCAGTTAGAAAAAAATTAAATGCAGAATTCACTCTGAGACTTTCTTTTTCCCTTATAAAATGAAGAAAATTTGGCTACTTCCCACTTTGAATTGGCAAAGGAAATTCCAATGATTTATACTGTAGGGAAAAGCTGCAGACCATTGAAATCCCTGCCCAAATCATATCCTCATCGACACTTTCAACCTCTGCCTGAATAAGCATTTCCAGAAATGTTCCAGAGGAAGCAAAAGCTTAAGACTCTTTTTTTTAAATCAAAACAATGTAGAATAGTGGGAAGATGGGGCAGGTGTCTGCAGACTTGGGACTAAAAGCTGGCTCTGCTCTGTAATTCTGAGCCAGGCACTGAAGTCTCATCTTGTTCATCTGGAAGATGGGATGGAGACAGCCATTCCTCAGGCCTGTCAAAGAATGTGGGACCTGGCTAGCCCAAATATTGCAGCTCTTATTATTCTCAAGAACAAAGGGGAGTTGATGATTAAAGAACTACAAAAAAGGGATGAAAGTATGGGAAAATCATCCACCAGCAGAGTCAGATGCTGCATAATGAACAGCTACACAAGACTCAGTTTTGGCCAATACTAAAATACTCTCTGGATATGTTTGTTAATATATCAGGAATTTACTGTTTTGTCAGCCAATAGAAAACTGAAAATTTCCCTTATATTGTGCATATGCTATTTTTCAAATTATCATGAAATCCTGAAGGTATTTCATTCAAGAAGTAAAAAAAGAAAAGGAAAGAAAAAACGGCTAGCCAGTGCTTCAGAGAGTGAGATAAACAGTATTAGAAGAAGGGGGAAGATGGGCTCTGTTTCTCAAAGACACCAGATGGATTATTCAAGAATAGTCACTGGAGATGAGCAGAAGAGGATTTAAATTGAATAATCAACTTCAAAACACAAAACATCCTTCTGTCCCCTAGACAAAGCAATGACACAATGTGAAAAGAATGCTATGTCAGGCGAAAGGGCAGGGCTTAGGAAAGTAGCAATGAATGCAGAATGAGCTGAAGAGGGAGCTTTTCCCTTCTGCAGTGCAAGAAGAGCTTCATTTCATTTGAGGTCCAAGATGCTCTCTATTGCAATAAAGAAATGTTTCTGAATTATTTACAGAAAAACTCAGAATTTATGAACCTTCAATGCCATTGGTCTTGAATATGCACATTACTTTATAATTCTTCTCACAGTTTAAGAACAAGTTTTCTTCTTTCTTTCTTTTTTTTTTTAAAGGGGGCATCTCTTTACTTTTTCGGATGTGACTAGGTTCAAGTTTTAGGAAGCTACAGTGATTCTGAAGAATATCATCAGGGGTCCCCACAGTTAAGCTGCATAGTCAGCTGAGGCCTGAGAGCCTCCAGGACTGGTGATGTTCAACCACTAACCTGTCAAGGAAGCAGGACAACTTCAACCCCTCTGAGGATCAAACCATATAAAACAAAGGTTGTTGCTCCTCACTTCTTTTCTTGTAACAAGGTCAAGCCTTCTCCACGCTAACAGAGGACCCTCAGAGCCCCCTTACCTGCCATATCTGCTCTTCACTCAGGGAGGTCAGGCGGTCGCTCTTCAGGACCTCCTGAAGCAGGCAGTAAGGAAGTGTGAGAACGTCCTCCGGGCGGCTCTTCAGAAGTTCAGAGAGATGTTTCACTAAGAAATCGATCACTGCTTTCTCCAACAAAGTGAGGTTAAAGAGGTCAGCAAGTCTGTACAGATCCAAGTAATTAAAGCTATTTAGTTCCTGGGTGCCAAAAAAATAAAAAGTGAAAAAAGATCTCTTAGAAATCAATCCAAGAATGAGCAGGCAAGAACTTCAGATTGCCTCACTAAGATTTTCATGACAGGGGTAGGAGAAATGGGACTGCTAATATTAAAAAAAAAAAAGCATACTCATTTATGAGACTCTAGGTGGATAATTACTGTTCTAGAAAAGAGTCAAAGTGGCACACACATCAGCCAACTGAAAACATGCCTGTTTTAAGTAGAATGAGAATGGGCTACATCCTGGTCTCCCCTCATTTTTACTTTACAATTATTAACATGTAAGAAATATTTTCCAACAACACAGGGAATGCAGGGTACCATGAGATAGCAATTTTACTCTACTGACCTATTAATTTCAACCTATTTACCCCTTTTTAGTTACCTAATGACATAGGAACTCTATCTAAAAATGTTCTTATTCTATTGTAATATATTTGCTTCCATAAATATTTGAGAATTTAAATGAATATGTTCTAAGTGGTGCTCAATACAACAGCCACAAGCTACAAATGGCTATTGTCCATCTGAATTGTGCTGAAGTATAAAACACACATCAACTGCAAAGAGTAAGAAAAATAAAATGGTATCAACTATCTCAATTTTATTGCTTATATGTTTAAATGAATTCTGGCTATTACTGGGTTAACTATGTGATTATAATTAATTTCACCTGTTTCTTTTTACATTGTTAATGCAGCTAATAGGAAATTTTAAGTTACATATGTGACTTCCATTTCATGTCCACTGAACAATAAGTGCTGCTCTAAACAATAAAGAAATTGTATAAATAATATTCAGAGTACCAGCAGCATCATTATTATGGCTACCTGGGCATGTTTTTCTATTTTAAATCCTCTACTTACTGGTAGGTGACATTTTAATTATATTCATATTCATAGTAGAAGTCAACCTAGAAGACTTCAGAAACCAGTCATAAGATTCTTTTGTCCTTTTTTCTTCTTTTGTTTTTTAAAAAGGTTTTATTGACATATAATATTTGTATAGGGGGACACATTGCAATATTTACATATATGTTTACAATATATCTTAGATTTAGCCCATCATTCTCCCTCTTCCCACCTTCTTAGAACAATTTCAGCTAGTTTCATTCTTCTATTTTAATATATGAATACAAATTGCATACACCATATTCATGTTCATTCACCCTTTCCTTATAACCACCCCCTTCCTATTTGTACTCACCCAGAAAATACCTATATTACCCTCTGCCCTTCATTTTCTTAAGTGTATATTGATGGTCCAAGGGACTTTGGCCTTGGTACTTCAGGTCTTAGATAGCGTGCTTTAATCAAATTAACTCCCCCCATTACTTACTCTTTTTCTATTGCTATGCTCCCCTCATATTCAACAGCTTACAGTAAACACAGTATATTATACTATATTCACATATAGATTGGCTGGTTCTATATTTTTTATCCTCTCACATTTTCTTTCCTTCTAAGATTCTTAATAACTCTATTTGCCAACACGATTGAAAAGGAAAAAATGCTTATCTTTAAAATGAAGTTTATCACAGATGACCACTAAAATCCATTACAACTCAAATATCTAAGAGTCTACTGACAGCTATTCAATCAAATAGTCTGATCTCACTCAGCAGATTTTATTAAAGGAATATGGAAGTTGACTTCAGTACTAATTTTTAAAGTGATGTTTAAAAATGTTCTTTAAATATTCCTTCTTAGGATTGGTAACTTCTACCCTGGGATGAAAGAAAGGTTAAGGGGGGAGAAATGACCCAAATGTTGTATGCACATATGAATAAAAAAAAAAAAAAAAAGAAAGGTTAATCCTTTCTTTCTATGGAGTTTTACTGCAAACTTTAGAACTGTCTCCCTGGGAAGAATATGTTATTTCTGGCAAGTACATCTGTGAAGCAACTTTAGCTGCTTCTAGGCCCTGGATATCATTTGGTGCTCCATTAAATTACTCTGAAGTCCTCCAGAAGCCTGGTGGGGTGTCAGTGCCTTTTAAGTATTGCACGGGCATGCCCAAGGGACAGCCAGGGCTCTGATGGAGTGACCATAGACCTGGCACACAGAGGTGAGCATGACAAAAGCACAAATAGCCTCGTTCTACAAAGCAAAATTTGATGGGCATGCAACCAAGGGAAAATAATTTTTTTCACTAGTTCTGACAAAAAGCTGTATGCAACTAGGAGTTTGGGCTGGATTATATAGTGTTAACTAAATATTCTTTATTCGCATCCATATGTCTTTATAAGGAGATACTGGGTCTCTTCCAATTAGAAGCCTACAAATAAAAAGCAATACACTTCAAAACTACAGAGAACTAAAAATAATTTCAATGAGGGATTTAAAAAAATGGTCTTTTCCGCTATGTTTCTTTTGAAGGTAATTCTTTAACACCTTCTTCTACAGTCCTGAAATACTTTTTATTTCCTAAGGAAATATTTTTCTAACCCCCAAGACCAATCTAAAAAGCATTTCCAGTTTATTAGTGTAGAATGGAGAAAGCTTCACTGAACAGTAAAAAGGAAGGGAACTGACACATTTGTGGATAAGAGAAACATTGGTTATAAAATACAAATGCCCTGTACCCTACCTTTTTATTTTTTACTTCTTAAAAACATGTCCCCACATCACTAGTGCTTTTTAGATATCCAGAAGTTTCCATTCATCTTGCCAAGCATAGTTTATACCTCAGTAGTTAAACTGTAAAGTGGGAACAAAGAACTCACCCTCCCTGAGCCCATGATGCCCTAGAAAACACTCCTCATTCTGGGCAGATGGACTTCGTGAGCTTTAAGAAAAATTCTTGTCCTTTTGGTTAAGACTGTGTATAAGCAAATCAAACACCAATCATGCTGCTTTTAAGGATTTCTGTTAATGTGCTAGGGGTAGGTGGGAAGCAATGGTAAAATTACATTAAATGCCCACCTATAGTACTGTGGATGGAAAAAAAAATCATTGCTGTTTTAGAAGAGTGCTGTTGTGTTTCTAGTTATAAAAAGTAATAAATGTTCACTTCATAAAATTCAGGATATATGAAGTATGAGAAAGAAAACCAAAAATCATTCATAATTTTATCATGCAGAGATAATCACTATTAATGTTTTTGTATATATACATGTAGCTTCTGAAAAAGAAATCTTTTATATGCCAAAGAAAGTGAAAGAATAATTGCATTCAAGACAGAAGAAACCCGTGGCCACTCTAGGGACTTGTGGGCAACTCAGGCTGGGAGGGAAGAACAAGGCCCAGGGAGTCTGGCTCAAATCCACCTCTGACATTGTTGATAGGAAACTTGAGTCAACCACTGAACTTCCATTAAAAGCCACTTACAAAATGAAAATTCAACCAACTCATAGGGTTGTCATGGAAACAACATATGAAAAGCACTTACTATAAGCTTGGCCAATGGGAAATATACAGCAGTTTGGAGCATGGCAGAGCAAGAATAATATAGTATATTTGAGTAGTTTGGTACTACCAATACTGTAGTTTGGTATTCATAAACCATGATTCATCACTGATGCAAGGAGGTCAAAGTGACAAATGTGGTCTCCTTAGATATCCAAGTCTTGCAATAAGGCACACCATTACATCAGGAAAAAAGAAGATGGCCAAAGTAAGAAAACCCACAGAACTGGGATTTAAACTAATGACTTGTCAGTGCTGCCCTCAGTTGTGTTACTAATCTAATCCTTTTTCCTAAACTCTGAATTCATTTTCAAAACTGCCTGTAAGAAGACATCTTCTCTTAGATATTCCACAACCATATTGAACTCAACATGTCCAAATTGAACCTATTTTATGAAAACCTGCACATTTTTCCTTGCATTTTCTCTCAGAGAATAGTTACCTCTAGCCACCTTCATCAGGAACCTAAAAGTTACTCCATATTTTTGTTATATCTAGTCTATCACCCAGTCCTATCTGTTCTTTCTCTTTCTGTCCCTCATCATCTCCTGTCTATACTTTTTGCAACAGTGTCATAAGTTACCATTCCTGCCTCCAGTATCAAACTCTCAATTCTCTTTTTACCTGAGCCTGATCATACTAATCACTTGTTTAAAACTCAGTAATAGGTTTCCATTTGCTCACAGGAAAAAAATCAAAACTCAAGACACTGCGTGGTTTTCTATGATCTGGATCTTGCTCATCACCTTATCGTGCACAGCAGCGACCCTCCCCACTCTGGCTGGGCCCCAGCTGTGACAACCACTTACACATTAACATCATGTGTACAACCACAGCAGGCACTGTTAATGCGTGGTGAGCAAAAATTAATAAGCCCCAGCCCTGGGTAGTATAAAGTCTCTTGGAAAAGGGAGACAATAAAAAAAATAAACTTACACATAAATGAAAAATTATAACCAAGGTAAAGACTACAAAGGGTAGAATACGGGGCTGTGAGTGACCACATAGGGGATTTGACCTGGAGCAAAAAATTACTAAAGACATAACTGAGAAGCCACATGAAGTTGACAGTGAAAGAAGAGCAGATGTTAACTTGGCAAAGGAGTAGGAATGGGGGTGGATATTGACTATATTGTTTTTACTTCTGTTTTCTTAATGCTCTGGCATCTTGGGTCCACTGATGGGAGAAACAACTCTTCCTAGAGTTGTCTAATTCTTGGAACAGAAAAGGGCTTTCACACACTAACTAACCAATCTAGAAGCCATACTCTGAACCACTACCTCAGCCAGAGACCTACTTGGCAGGAGGCAATATTTCTCTGTCCTAATCATCCCAGAGCCAAATGGAAACTGCTAGATTCTGCCCATATTCCCTAGGGTACATGGAAACTATTCAAAGCAGCCATTTATAAGCCTGCTTATCTGCCTCATCACTTCCTTCCTTGCAGAAACCATAATACAGGCTCAAGCCCACTTTTCACCCTCACTCCCCCTGCCTCCTGACCAATCCTGGGACTTTGCTGTGTGGCATGTCCCCTCCTTTTGGGAATGTGAGTAGCAAACTATCTTTTCA